CCCCAAAACCCCAAAACCCCAAAACCCCAAAACCCCAAAACCCCAAAACCCCAAAACCCCGGGATAAATAATCAGAGTTGAAAAGAAATTTAAAATCCATTCAATTTTGAAATAATTACAGACACTAGTAATTTTATTATTGATATAGATTTTGCGGTATTTGTATTGATCATTCGTTTTGGCTTTACATGACACTCCAGACCTCAACATCCATAAATCCATATCTTTCGAGTGTTGCTGTAACCTCACGATCCTGCATCCCACAATTGGTGACCACTAGCTCTTTGAGGCTTTTTCTTAAATCCCCACATTGGCCAAGGCCTTGGATCAAGTTATCAAAATGAAGCCTGTTATGCTCCCAGTTTCCTCTTGAGGCATCTCCTCAGCAGTCGAAGTCAAGTCTCTTGAGAGCACAACCTTTCAATGCCTTCGAGAAATTAGGGACGAAGGTAAGATTTAGCTTACAGTTGAAGAATCTGAATCTTTCTTTAGACTTGTTCCTTGAGAGGAGAGTCACCAAGTGATGTTGAGGGATTTCAAAATTATAAATATTGAGCTCTTCCTTGACATTATCGCTTATTTTTATCAATTCATCCATGTAGTCATCGATGGGGCTCAAGTCTGAGTTTATATTGAATCAGAAGACGCCGACTTTCTTGGGAAAGAACCTGTTCATGAACTCTTTGACACTCCATTTATGAGCACTGGACACATTGCCTATGTCTATTCTGTTCAGATCGGGGATCCGCTTGGAGAGATTAACAACTAGTCTTAAGTGCTTCGTTTTATCAAGGGACAGACTCAACCAATTCACTTGGCTCTTTAAGTTTGATTTTGGGTAATCGCTGTGCAGGAATTTTGAGTTTACTGGCCTTCATAGTAAGGAAAACTCTTTATCAGAGTATTCCTCAATGGGAGGACCCCATTCTGCTTTAATTTTCTCATTAGTCTCCCGAAGTTTCTCCATAGATTTCGACAGCTTAAATATCTGGTCATCCAGATCATTAATCTTGCCGCTCTTGTGTTTGCTTTCTTCTTCAATGTGATTTAAATTTCCCTTCAATCTTTGGATAGCTTTGTTCTGAAGTTTTTCTTTTTCTTTAAGTTCTTCTCTATGAAAGTCTTTAACTTCTCGTATCTTAGCTCTACACTCTTGTCTTCTGCCTCTCATTTCTTTAAGGTGAGTCCTCTTGAGTTGGTCTATCTCAGCCTTGAGGTCTTTTACTTTCTTCCTCTTTTTGACTAACTTGGAAGACAGCTTGTCTATCTCTTTGTCTTTCCTCCTCTCAATAGCTTGTCTTTGGCCTTTTAGTAGATCCACTGTTGTTGAAAGTCTCTTTTTATATTTCTTCTCAAGTTGTATCAGCGCTAGCGCATCACTCTTGTCCGGGTTGCCTTCAACGACACGAACTGCTTCGTTCCAAGCCTTCCAGCTTGAGTATTTCAAGAATAGTCTATCGTTCTTGATAAGATCTTCAAGACACTTGGTCTCTTCGAGCAAATCTCCAAATTCATAGAATTTATCTTCTCTAATCGCGTCTTCAAGTTTCATTATAATAGTACTCGACATTTCCTCTATTGTACTGTCAAGAGCGCTAAATTCCTCTTCTGGAGCTAGATCTCCTTGCTTTTGTAAAGCTATAAGAATCATTAAACTCCTCAATCCTATTCTCTCCCTTTAAATATCCAACCCAAAATTAATTTAAAACTCCCTTACCTAGCTGCAGCTCCTTCCTACACCTCTTGATCACACTGAGTAACATCTTAATTTCCTCTTTAGACACAAGTCTAACAGCTTCCTGATCAAAGCACTCTCCATCCTCTAAATCCATAAACTCCCCTTCCACCCCCAAAATCCTAATCCCTTCTCCCTTACTAAACCCCTAAAACCCCAAAAGTCCCCCTCCTAATCCCAAAAGTCCCCCTCCTAATCCCAAAAGTCCCATCTCCAGTGAGTCCCCAGTAGATCCTTACCTGGGTCTTCCGCTTGAGCTCCCTTATGGAGCAGGCAAATGTACTGGCGCTTGTCCGGGAGGAAGAACAAGGCTTCGTTAGGGCAGTGGGTGGTCTGGCAGAATGGGAAATCCATATTGGAAGAAATAATTGTTATAATGTGAGGAGGAAGGTGGGGTTTTGGGGTTTTGGGGTTTTGGGG